ACTCGATAAGTAGGAGCAGGCATTCCTTCATCACCTTCATGTGCAAGCCATCTTCAATCGCAGCCTGACTGAAGAAGGCCTATGGAATTCACGTCACCTCCAAACAGCTGCGAAACTTCTTGTATGGAGTCACCCATGGACAGCTACCTGGAGACCAGTACTCTCGATCTGGAAGACCTCCAACACTAGCAGCTCCGCACCGTCGCTACGTCCAAGATATCATCGAGATTCGCAGTCGCCAAGGGGTGGTTCGATGGTATGGATCGGAAGTTCCTGGAATGGGAGACCGATATTTTCTTCGTGGACCCGGACTGGAGTGAATGCTGACGGTTACATCGACCAACTCGAGGAGAATATCCTGCCCTCATGTCGCCGCCTGTACCATCTTGGAAAATTCTACATTCGCTGTGTACTGCCACAGGATTGGGCGCCAGCACGTATAATCGAAGAGCGTTGAAAAAACTCAAAATCAGGGCACTGAGAACCTAAAGAATACGGAATGTTTAAGTGTGCCACCTATCGTAAACCCACTCGATTACCGGGTAGGGGCTTAACAGGGTGGTCTACAGTGGCGGAGAAATCAACGGCCTTGCTGAACTCAGGCGAATCACGGTCGCATGGCAGAATCTCTCGAAGCGCATGATCAGAAGGCTGTAGGGCTGTGGCGGAGTATCGTGATTGTGTTGTTGAATATGATGGTGGAAATGTCTAATCAGAATTTGGTAAAGGGTAACTTATAGCGTGAAAATCGAGGAAGAAAAGTGTCTTTTTCAATCCCTCCCCCCTGTATATTGCTCGTATGGCGTGGACCTGTGGCTTATCCATAAAAAGGAGGTGATCTTGGTAAAAGCGAACAATCATGAACTTCTAGCCAGAATAGACTCCTTGCCACACACTTTCGTGCCGTGAACGTGGCGCACATTCAGAGATTGCGGACCGAGCTATCAGTACTAAAATCAAAGTCCACTTACCGCATTCGTGCATTTTTTGAGCTGGTCCGGAAGTCACTGAATGAGAGAAGGAAGCTTGTAAGGATCTGAGCTTCAAGCAAACAAATGAGATCTAAAACCTAAAAGATGTATCCTTTTAGTTGCCACTTTCGGAGGACAGTTTTATGGTGTACATTACAACCGGCTCAGTATCTGAAACGAAGGCAGCACTACCGTTATTGATGGTGTATAGCGTTACTTTCGCTTCGTCTTTATCATTAGTTATGAACAGTTTCGTATTCAAATACATCCAGTTGTGCAAGTAAGTGAAATGTTATTCACGATCAATATTGACTACTGCTGATAGCCTTACTAAACAGAAGAGTCATTTGAAGGCAAGCTGTGCGCTCACCTCAGGGAAGTTCCTTGCCATGTGCGGGGTGAATCAATCGGTTCGCAGCTGCAGTATGATATCACTTTCTGTGCTCAGAAGCGCGCGTGATGCGGGCTGGGAGAAAGTGCTACACGATGCTATCTTTACACCCTGCTAGCGCCTTTCTAATGTTGCACCACTTGCGTCGATACCGGAGTCCCCCAACGAAACAGCTACTTGGTTGTAGAGAACAACCAGAAGTGAACCAGACAAGCAGCGCGTTTAACGATGGCCACGCGTGCGTGTCCAGAAAGGGGCGGCATGTGGGGCAGGGCACGCCATCGCGTTGTGATAAATTTTCCGCTAATTACACCCCCCCCCCCCCCCCTCAAATAATGGTAACGGGTATAGGGGGCCACGTATTTCCCTGTCAATCGGCTCCACTTCCTGCGCAGCAGGTATTCTGTTCTTGGTGTGGGTCTCTTTCAAGTGGTTTCTCACATTGATAAGTCTTTCATCATTGAAGCTGAACGACATTTGGGTATCGCTGCACCCTCACAAGAATGCTGAGTTATGGGCAAAAGTCGGACCACGGGCGGGATTCGAACCCGCATCTTCCGCTTTCCGTGCGAATGCGTTCCCTATTACGCTACCGAGGCCACCTTTGACCACTCAGCTCAATGGCTATTTGTGCCATAACCTTACAGCACTCACACGTTCAACGTGATGAGTGCTGTAAGGTTATGGCACAAATAGCCATTTCAGCCTTGCGGTTCACTGCCGATATCGGCTAACCGGCTCATCACGTTGAACGTGTGAGTGCTGTAAGGCTATGGCACAAATAGCCATTGAGCTGAGTGGTCAAAGGTGGCCTCGGTAGCGTAATAGGGAACGCATTCGCACGGAAAGCGGAAGATGCGGGTTCGAATCCCGCCCGTGGTCCGACTTTTGCCCATAACTCAGCATTCTTGTGATAGCTTTCGAATCGCGTACTGCGGCGTTAAACAGCAGTTAACAAACAATATCAGCTTGACCCCAACTTCAGAGAGTTCCCGCGTTACACCCCCCCCCCTCCTGAGGACACCCATACGCCCCTCCGTTGTTGATGATCAGCAACGGTGGGTACCTGCGCGGGGCGCTCCCAGGTACCGTACCACTACCACCACACAACAACGTCCCAATCCCATAACCCACGACTGCCTTTTAGGCCGAGGAAGTCCTGCGGCGGACCCATTCACCTCACTCATGGCAAGGAACAGGACTCGCGGAGGTGATTGTGCAGTTTGCCTTCAAAATATCGACCCTGGTTTTATACACAATTTGCTATGTCAAGGCAGCGTCAAAAGACGGGCCGAGCAGAATCAAGCGATGAGATCTCCAAAATTATCGAATTACGAGTCCTTTCGGTGATGGTCAGGAGATCTAAGGTCCAAGTGTTAAGCTTCGGGATTTGTTGAAGGCGAAGGTGCGCCCGAGTGCGCCTTATGCTCCTAGAATTGCCATTCAATAAGACTAATTCGTTAAGTTCTTGCCGATCTATGACTTGCTCCCGTCAGAAGCACTGAAGCGTGCAACGTTATTTTTACCCAGTATTTCGTGTGAAGCAAACCTATTTCCCCCTGAAAAAAATGTTCCTCTCCCCCTCCCCCTGGTTGTGGTTTAGCTTCGCTCCATGAGAGCTGTTAATTATTCACTTTCTAGTGTCCCTTGAAAGATATCTCCATGTTGTTCGCGCTGCCGCTTTTTGCATTTTCCGTGAGCCTTTCACCTCTCCCCCCCCCTTCATGTTTCCACAGTTATTCCTTGTCTAGACGCTAAAGAATCGCGTCTGAATTTTCAGGTCACATTTCGTCTATTTTTATAATTACATGGCAAGGTGCCTTGGTCAAGTGCAGTATTAGCGCGGCAATCATCGCTAATTGGGTTGGCATGCTTGGCTTTGTCGGCTGGCCAACACCAACATTGATACAAGGAATCGAAAAGTTCATGGCAACGGATTACAACTTAGATGCAACAAAGAAGGGTCTCATTGGTGTGTGGATGAAGGTGTGACACTGAGTTCGAACCACTACAACTTATAAAGCATTTTATAACCTTAGGTGCTGAGAATTCTTTGTTGAAATTCGATGATAATTTCAGTCTATATCAACGCCGAATTTTATTTTTATTGTTGAGAGTTTTCTTCTGATAGCAGTGATTGGTGCAATAGGAACTGTATGTGCATGGAAAATTCATCTTTGTATCCGAAGAAACTCTATGAGCTCTACAACACGGAAAATGCACAGACAAATGCTTACCATGCTTCTTGTCCAGGTATGAGCTGAGGGTTTCAGTTGCTTTATTCAAAAGTTTTACGATGTTGTACTACCATCAGAGCCCGCTCTGTCTCGAGGGAAATTTCTCGCAAAATTAGGCCGCTTTCATAGCTTTGGCAAGCGCGGTCAGCGTCCACCAGCTACTAAATCATCGTCCACATAGCGTTCGAGGACGTGTGAGCAAGGCCAGCGAACTAGGGAAGTAATCAGGCTATCAATCTAGCATACTGGCCAGCGTCTCGCGACTGTCCACGAGAGTTTTGGAGTACCGGGTATTGTGGCATTAAAGTAAGCGTGCTGTTGCACACACCACAATTCAACGACGGATTATCCAGCTGTCTTCTCCCTCCCATTTTCTCATACTTTACAAGCAGTCTGCTACCCTCCTACTTCCCCATACTTTCTACACCTGGTGGCTGGTGGCGCTAGTGGACGCTAGGTCGATACCCCCATACTTTCCTCGTCCCTCAAGGCGTTGACGGTCGACGGCGCAAAGTATGAACGCGGCCTAAGGCTCTTTACCACTATTACCTCACATATTCTATCTTTTCAGGACTAGTAATTGCAAAATTCTCACCTTGAAGCCTCCCCTTCCTCACGTCCGAAGGTTAGCGTCTGCCGGCGTCCTCGCGTCCATGAGTAAATAGGCAGGCATAGGTATCGATTGGCGTCTGCGCCAGCGTTGCCACCGCGACGCAGACGCTCAGCGAGGGACCAGGAATAGAGAGTATGGAGAGGTAGGAGTGTAGTGAACAGGAGGAAGCGTCGTGTGAAATTGCGGTGTGTGCAACCACACCGCACAGCTGCAAAAGCACAGAATTATGCAATTTAATGTACGGTGTAGTGTAGTTGTACGGTGCCATACCTTGTCCCGGATTCGCCCCCCCCCCCAAATTTTTAACGACGCTTTTCAAGGCTGTTTGCTACCTCACGTATCTTTACTTTACCTTAGATCACTTAGACGACCCGTTCTTCAGCACGGCGGTTGACCTTGCGCGGGTCCCAACTTCTTTTCCATTGATCTCTGTCTTGAGCCTTGCTTGTCCAGTGCATAGAGACCTTAAGAGAAATTTGATCATAGACATTGTTGCGATAGGCCAGAGAATCTGCCCAGCGCAGAGGAGGGCGGCCCGGCGGTCGTTTCTTATCACGCGGGTACCATCGTATCGTCGCAGAGCTTCATTTCTCCTCATCACTTGGCCGGCAAATCGATGTTTCGCTTCGTCAACGTGGAGTACAATGTCCTTGATCTTCGACATGGCCCTGACGTCCGAGTTGTGAAGTTTCAATTCTCGTTGACGGCTTAACGTCAGGCCTACTAGGCGGCGCTCAATTGATGTTTGGGCAGACTTTAACCGTTTTTCGTGCGCTTTTGTGAGGGCCCAAGTTTCTCCTGCGTAGCTTAGGGCAGGCAACACTGTTGTATTAAAGAGGTCCGCACGGAGCTTGAGATCCCTGGTATCTTCCACGACGCTCTTTATTGAGTTGAATGCTGCCCATCCAGCTTTGCAGCGTCTCGTCAGCTCTCCGGTCAAATCATTCCTCATGTTTAGCTCACTCCCAAGGTGCTCACTTCCGACATATTCAGAAGAATACCGTCAATGTTCAGTCCAAATCTGCTCCAATCGCAACGGCGTATAACGGATTCCAAACACGCGGAGAACAGGTTGGGTGAGATCGGATCACCTTGTCGCACACCTTTCTCAATTGAAACTACCACATCGTTGAAAAAAGGGCGGAACGTGGTAGTACAATCGGTGTAACATTCCTGCAGCACGTCGATGTAGATCTTCTCAATTCCTTGCTCTTCTAGCGATTCCCAAACCTTCATTGGCTCTACCGAATCGAACGCCTTCTT